ACAGCATAAATCATCTGCGAGAGTTAAGACAAACCTAAAAACATCAAAAAACTATACATATGAACTCTTAGCTCTGAGAGATCACCACCAGACTACAGCAATCCAGAAACTTATTCATGGGTCTCAGAAATATGTGCTCAATTTACCAAAGCACGTTTTCCCAGACTCAGAAGAATAGGTGCTTAAGAGAGGGCTTAATTTTGCAGTAATAAATAGTGTGTCTAATTTGGATGTGGTATATGCGGCTGAATCTCCAAGGTCCAAACTCCCTCTCCTGCCTTGAGTATGAAGTTCCATTGCTGGATCAATGAATGCGGGTAAAATCAAAACCTTTAACATCTAACATAACTGCACTGAAATCTCTAAAGGATAACAAGGAAATAAGAATTCTACAAGCTGACAAAGGGAACTGTGAAGCAGGAATGAATGAGTCCACATACAAGGAGACATCCAGTCTACTAGAATCAGGGGTTTATGAAATTCTATGTAAGAATCCCATGTCTGAAATTGAAGCGAAGACATAGAAACTTCTCACCAAGCACAAAACTCTCCTTCCCACTGCCCTGAAATATAAACTGACTCCTAACGACAGTAAATCACTTCACCTCTATGGACTTCCAAAGATACACAAACCTGACATCCCCCTTGACCAACAGTAAGCTCTACTGACTCTCCCTGTTATGCCATAGCATATTTTCTCCACAGGATCCTGAGCCCTTTAGCTGGCAATATAGACTCCTCTGCAAAGAACTCAATACACTTCACAAAATAAATACAGGAGATCATCCTTCAAAACGAAGACTACCTTATAAGTTTTGATGTCAGTCTATTCACCAATGTATCAGTGGAAGGAGTCTTACAGGTCATAAAAAACAGACTCGATACAGATCCTTCTTTCCCTGAATACGTACTGGAATTGCTGGACATCTGTTTAACAACCACATACTTTCAGTCTGATCAAAAATTCTATCAGCAAAAAGAGGGTATGGCAATGGGAAACTCACTACCTCTGGTCAGTAATCTATTTATGGAACACTCTGAGGAAGTAGCACTGGATACAGCAGACCACAAACCCACTAAATGGCTCAGATACGTTGACGACACTTGCATGAACTGGCCAGAGGGGTCAGCAAGATTGAAGCAATTTCTTCACCATCTCAACAGCATTAGACTTACCATCAAATTCTAAATGAAAGTTGAAGCTAATGATACTCTTCTCTTCTTAGATGTCTTGATCATAAAGAGGGGTCCTAAATCAGCCATGGAAGTGTTCTGGAAACCTACTCATACAGGTCGTTATCTGCACTTCAAGTCCAACCACCCACATGACATGAAAAGAGGAGTCATTCATAGTCTGATCAGTCAAGCCAAGGTCATATAGCAAAATCAGAAGGATTTTAACAAGGAAATTAGGAACACACGATATGATCCAATGTTCAACCAATACCCACAAGAATTCATTGGCTCCATAAGGAAGACATCGAGAAGCAACCTTCCTTCTTCAGATACAATATACCAGGGCACGGTCATTATGCAACACATCAGACACAATGGAAACTCTTTCAATGTCAGAACCATCTACAAAACTAATCATACACTCCATGGGACACTGACGAATACAAGACTGGATTGAAATGTCCAGAAGATGAAGTAGTGTGTGCATAATATCCCATGTGACTGGCAGATATTACATAGGTGAAACAAGCACAAATATAACTTGACCTAAGGTCTGACTGAAAGATCAAAATCAGCTCAGCATCAGTACAACGAAGGCCACAAGATATGCTGGAAAGAAGCAAAAGTCTTGCAGATTGAAGCAAACTCCATATACAGGAAATACAAGGAATCCGCTCATATATTTTTGGCAGTGCATTCGTTTAGAAAACCCAGCATGGACATTTCCCACATCAGGACTCCCGTTACTGCAGCATCATTCAGAAAACTACATTAAGCATGAAAACTGTGTTTTTATGTTGGTAACATACAGAGAGTTTGTCTCCTCAGCGATAACTTCTATTATGATAGTAATCTGATTTTAACAACTCCCGTAAAACAGTGCATGGAAATAACTGTTGGGCCTCATGTGAGTAAAGTTGATTAATGTTTTTATGTCTGTCTTAACTCTCTCACATGATTTGTGCTGTGCTTGTTTATATACCGTATCTTGTAATGTTGTATTTTAGCATCCTGTTGCATTGACTTTCATCCATGATATGTATAGAGTGGCCGTCTTGTAGTGCACTCAATTTCACCTGTTACTTCACGACATGTATCGGCAACACAGTGCCATCATCAGGTGCCCGAATTACATTAATCTATTGCATTGCTTGCCCTCATATGTCTTCACAACACCATTTAAAAAGTATTTAAAAAGTGCATATTTGTCAACTATAATAAATGTACACTCACTAAAACTTGTTAAGATTATTTATCTTACGTGTCTTAATTAAAACTTGCGTGTGGTTCATTCACTATGGGGTTGTTTTTCTTATTTTCTGTGTAAACTGTGTCTTGTGATGTGTCTTCCCTTCTTAGCTGCGAGCTAGGATCCACCTGAAGGAGGGGACAGAAGCCAGTCTCCAAAACATTGTGTGTTTTAAGTGAAAACAGGACAATGGATAATGTCCAGAATCACAATAACTGAATAATTACAGCAGTACAGTTCTTCACAAAGTTTATCTACCCCATTTGTACGTGGTGCAATCCAAAGGTTCCCAAAATATATTAATAAAAACTATTACATCTTACCTAGATTTTATTCTGCACCATCACTTTCAAAGTAGTCCCCTTGGGAGCGCATACACCGATCCCAGCGTTTCTGCCACTTTTCAAATGCATCCTGGAAGTCTTTCTTTGTTAGCGTGTTTAGTACCATCTGCGTTTCCGCTTGAATTTCCTCAACTGTATCAAATCTTCGCCCCTTCAACTTGATTTTCATCTTGGGGAAGAGAAAGAAGTCGCATCGAGCTAAGTCTGGGGAGTACGGTGGGTGGGGAACAACTGCCATCTTGTTTTTAGCCAAAAATTCCTGCACAATGTAAGCCGTATGCGGTCATGCGTTGACATGGTGGAGTACCCAGTCGTTCGTGCGCCACTTCTCTGGACGTTTTCTCATCATGTTCTCCCTCAAACGCCTTAGAACATCGCGATACCAACTCTTTATCGACTGTCTGACCAGGAGGGACAAACTCCTTATGAACAATCCCATCAATATCAAAAAAACAAATGAACATGGACTTAATGTTGCTCTTGACTTGTCGAGCTTTTTTTGGCCAAGGTGAAGAAGGGCTCTTCCATTGCGACGATTGCTGCTTGCTTTCAGGGTCGTAGCCATAAACCCAACTTTCGTCACCAGTGACAACCTTCGAAAGAAAGTTTGGATCCTCTTGAAGCTGTGGCTGAAGTTCCCTGCAGACTTCCAAGCAATGCTGCTTCTGTTCATTTTGCAGCAGTCGTGGCACAAACATTACCGCAATCCTCATGTTCAGTTCCTCTGACAAAATTCGTTGACATGTACCATAACTTAGTCCCAAGGTGTTACAGAGGTCTTGGATGGTCAGTCTACGGTCTTGCAGAATCAGATCCCTAACTTTCGCGACATTTTCTTGTTCGTCCCGAACGATCGTCATCATCAGTCAATGTTCGGCCATTTTTAAAACGCTTATACCAGTTGTAAGTTTGTGTCTGGCCTAAACTGTTGTCACCAAAAGCTTGTTTCAACATTTGGTGCGTATCTGCAGCGGTTTTCCCAAGTTTGAAACAAAAGTTACAGACACGCTGCTCTCTCAGGTCAGCCATCGCAAAACCACAAACTCACGGAAACACAACAATAGAAATATGTTCACCAACAATAAACACAACCACTCAACTCGACGCCGCTTGTCACGCTGATTCAAGAAGGATGTGTGAGGACACACCTAGTGGTATTTCGATGTAATCATAACCATTCACACGCAAAATTCAAATTTCGGAAACTTTTGTATTGCCCCACGTATTTAGGTTTAGCCAGAAGAGATTCTGTGGAGTACATCACACATCAATCTTCCATCGAGTTTCCTTTAACACCCTGAGCACAGAAACACTAAAACATATGAGTTATTGTGTGCCAGAGGGTTTAAATGGGAACAGAAAGAATTCACCTCTATATAATTTTCATACACTAACAAACAAACTCCATGGCTGGAGTCCACAAGTGAACTATACCGACCAAGCAACCACCACTTGTTGGTGAAGTTAGTGACAAGTTTAGCAGATAAAGAGTATCGCATGGTCAGCATAATGGATACCCACCACCATTTCTAGACCGGAGCCACTATTTCCTTGAAATAGCTCCTCAATTATCCTCATGAGGCTGAGTGGACTCTGTTCCAGACCCACTACTTCTCAGAAAATCTGGTAGCACCGGGAATCGACCCCGGGACCTCTGGATCTGTAGCCAGGAACGTTAACCACTAGACCACGGAGGAGGTCAATCTTCATACACATGACATGCAACTGTCACACATACTTGACAAAATTCAAACAACTGTCAGAAAAAAGTTATAGTGCTTGTTCATATTTAGATGCAGAAAGATGATAGAAGCTACAAACCTCGACACCCACATCCACTTCCACAAATCCCTGTTAGAACATCTGACACATATGCTAATGACTACCAACACTGGATATGGTCTACACAGATGTGTGCAGGCATTGCAAATTATACTGACAAAGGAATGAGCTATAGACAGTGTCATGTAACTTCGAACAAGGCCCCGCATTCCTAGTGAAATCCCGTGCATAGCTTGTGGTGGGAGGAGTTTCTTAACACTCATTCTTCCACTTTCACTGAGCCCCTTGTCTGAAATTTTTCTTCTGTGCATTCAAGGTTACTCTTGGCCTTGTTCGAAGTTATGTGACACTTGCTATAATAGGAGGACACTCAAATAAGAATTCCCCAAAAGCCCCAAGAATATGATAAGAGTCACACCACATTGTCTGAAACTGGAAATTTACAATACCTGCTTCTCCAGCACATTGATTTTGTCATTGACTTGCTGACTGTTGTTCATTTCCCTTGTCCTCTTGTTCTGTTCCTCCTCCAACTTCCTCTTCAGGTCTTGAAGTACAGACTCCGCCTTCCTACGCACCTCTGACTCATTCTCGGCTTTCCTCTGTGACTGCAAGAAAAATGATAGTCTTTCAAAGTGTCCTGCATGCTTCCTTTTGCTTCTCTTGAACCATCAGTCATGATTATTTTCTTTCACTTCTTTTGCAAAGTTAGTTTTCTCCCACAGCTTTCCAGCTGCATCATCTGTATAACTAAAGTGTATAAAACATTTCTTTTATATCATACAAACAACACACAAGTGCTGTCATGGTAGATTCAAAAGTAACATTATACAGGCCAACTGTTTAATTCAAAGCATAGTATGGAAATGCAGGAGCTGATATTTATAAAGCCCGAACAAAGACCCTTAACAAGATGTTCTGGGAAAAACTTAAGATTCAAACTTTCATCTACTTGAAGACTGGAGTAAGAAACATAAATTCAAATAATATAATATACTGCCCTTTATGCAAATAATCATGCAACTCCTGAAAGCTCTTGAACAATAACTGCTAAGAAGCAAAACAATGCCACACCTGTAATCTTCACTACAAAAGAATGGTTTATACAAAATTTACTGACATGCCACCATACCAGATTCTATTGGCTTGGCAACATTCAACCCTTTGGCTCAGTATGACAATGTTCTGTCATGGTCCAACAGTAATATAATAGGTATGACATACCATAACATACGGATCTCAATCGTGTATAGATCTGAGTATGAAGAGCTACAGAGTTGGGACTTAACCATCGCATGGAATTTTGTTGTATGGACAGCAGCAACACAAAATTCACACAGCATATTACCTGTCATCTATCCAGTTTATCTCCACTGCAGGGGCTAAGGCAGCAGATTGAGATCACTTCATGCCTGAGTTTTCGTAAAATGGTACCAAAGAGTGTAACTGCGTAAACGTGTAAATATGGGTGTTTTGGGGTCTTTAACAGATCAACGTCTAAGAAATATGGTGCACATACAATATAATATTAGTTATATTGTGAGATATTTATTTACTCAGCTGAAAAAAGAACTACCAAGGATACGTTACACCACAGCACATAAAACCCCCTGGGTAAGTGGTTAATGCGTTACTGTTGCCAAATAAGAATATAAAAATTCATGTAATCAAATTATTTTGTCCAGTTATGACTTCTCATATGTGAATCCAATGGCTTACCTCTTTGAGGTCATGCTTCAAGATAGTGAGGTTCTTCTCCAACAACGTCACTTCTTCTTGCAGCTCGGTTTCCCGCTGTGTAACTGCTTCCAGCTGAGACAGCAATGTCCTCTGTTGTGTTTCCAGAGTCTCCACCAGGCGACGTTCATATTCCAGCTGCCCCTCGAGCTGGTTTACCTGCTGGACTGAAGCAGTCATACTAGATGCTGGTGCTGCCAAGATGTGGTTTGGGACACTCTGCAGAAGTAATGTGGAAGTTAAATCAAACATAAAACACACAATGAACCAAATGTACTGCATATCAGTTTGTATGTCATTCTCACAAGAGCTCAATTCTTTTCTGATATATAAGATTCTCTACATTACTATTTTTAATGTCTTGGGATGCAGTTCAGAACAGAACTAGATGAACAGTCCAACAGTTGCTTAGTTTGGAACCAATTTTCTCATCTTCAACATGAGCCGAGATTGTCACCATTTCACTAGATATCCTTGGTAGTCTACACAACTCAAACCCACTGACATGCTTTAGTTAGACTGAGTCACTGCACATCTCTCTTCCAAGCTACAATGCCACCTCACATGAAGCATGAAGACCAATTACATGCAAATTCCCACATTAAAACATCTGAGCACCTACAATGGATCACTATATAAGAGCAGAAACAGAAGAGTTAATCTGTGAAGGATAAGTGCACCAAAGGCTACTTTCTCAATAATTAATTAAATTGCTTTTCCTCAAAGTTTTCTACTGGGAGAGGGGCAAATGCAGTAAAAAGATTTACTTTTATGACACAATGTGTCCAGCTGTAATAAAGATTCTGTTCCTTGGAACTTCTGAAGGCAAGATTCAAGAAAACATGGAACAAAAATAAACACACATTCATTAATGCAAATCATACATACCACTTTTCACATAATTTATCTGCATTACGATTCTAATAAAAAGAAATTAATCCACAAAAACTGCACCAATGCAGCTCTGAATAGTCATGCTGTGTACCCTACTCTACAATGAAGAAAACATCAATTACACAGAACATCTTCAACTCACCGTATCCACCTTGCATGATGAATATTCCCAAGGAATATGAAAGAAAGACAGAAAAGCGCATAACTAAATTTGCAAGAAACTGAGTTATTTACAGCAATACAAAATACTGAGTTTAAAGCACAGCACAAAGCAAACTGTATGACACTCACAACATCCAAGATTTGTTTGTCAGTGGTGCTCCATCCTGTCAGCAACCTGAAACAATAACATATGTTACTGGGACAGACAAGGAAAAAATGTAAACATTTATCTACACAACACTGGAAGGAACTACAAATCAGCATGCTAAATGACTAACAGTTATACACCACTGTCCAAAAAGTAACCGACCTTATTTTATTCCGGTGTAAGAAATGGCCAGAGGGGTGGGAAAACTGAGCGTAGTGGTAGAACAGACTTTCATGTGCATGCACGATTTTTTACTGACTCGTAACACTGCTGGATGCATCTGTGGCTGCCAGATAGTGAAATGGTGTTAACATGTGCTTGTTACATTCTCGTTTTGCTCAAGATGACAGAATGCTTGGAGCAGCGCTACTGCATCAAGTATTGTCAGAAACTTTGGGATACCTAAGCAGAAACAATCGGCAAAATTCAGCAGGCTTTCGGCGATGATGCAATGGGGGTCACTCAAATTAAAGAGTGGTTCAACCGCTTTAAAGATGGCCGTATGTCGGAGGACAGTGACCAGTGTTCCAGGAGACAAGCAACGAGCCAAAATGCTGATGTCATTGAAAAAGTGAGGACACTGATCATGGAGGACTGTCATTTGACAATCCGGGAAGTTGCTGATGATGTTGGGATCAGCAGAGGTTCCGCAAACATAATTTTAACTGAGGATTTGGGCATGCGAAGAGTGGTGGCAAAATTTTTGCCCAAGCTGCTTTCGCTGGAGCAGCAACAACTCTGCCTTGAGGTCGCGCAGGACATGCTGAAGGGCACCAACAGGGATCCTGAGTTCATGAAGACTGTGATCGCTGGTGATGAGTTGTGGGTGTATGGATATGACCCAGGAACCAAGGTCCAAGCATCACAATGGAAGCATCCAACATCCCCGAGGCCCAAAAAAGCATGATAGGTTCGGAGCAATGTGAAGATAATACTGACTGTTTTTTCGATTACCAGGGTGTTGTGCATCATGAGTATGCACCACTAGGCCAAACTGTCAATAAGGAGTACTACCAAGAAGTACTACATGAGAGTGAAACAAATGTCACATGTCAAGTAACAATCTAGTAGGCAATGTGAGCAACCCAAGACAGAGGTCACATATAGGGTCAGTTAAGAGAGAATAAATACACAGCCTCACTTCCTCTACCACTAAGAAAAAAAAATAAAAACATAAAAACTGCATTGTGTGCAGCAATTGGAAGGTCAAGGGAGCCAGAAAAGAAATATACTTCTATTGTAAGACCTGTATAAATCCACGGGCCATGTGTCCTGGGGAATGTTTCCAAAGATATCACACTCTCAAGAACTTCAAAAAGTTTTAGTGTAGGTCCCAGAGTTCATCAGATTTTTGTTGTCTGTGTACTTAGAACAGTGACAGTTATAACAGGAAAGGAATATGTGTATATTTTATACTAGAGAACAGCAGACAATTTTAGCCAGTGAAAGACTACTACCCCTCTCCGCACTTGATGTCATACACCATCACAAAGCAGAGAATTTGTCTTCTTGCATTGTGCTGGTAAGTAAACATTTTATTTCAATTTATGCCCTTGTTGCACCAACTTTTTGAGCAAACCAGCTCGCTTAGTGGCTCTACAGGGTATTTAAAATCCCCTGACGACCTGGCTGCAGAAATTGTTCCAAATATGACGACCAGAAAGGGTTAATCCCCTCAATATCAAAAGGCAGACCAGCATGGCTCTGACCAGTAACTTTGAAATTTATGCATATGGACTCAGAGACTCTGCATTTCTCTTATTGGAAATTTCAGTTCTTTGTTTCTGGGCCATAATGAAACCCAAGTTTCATCAAACCATTTTCTTTCCCAGAAGACTAGACTCTTTCAATCGTCATGCTGATAGGTCTCAAAAATATTTCTTTGTCACTTTTTCATCATTAATGAAATTTTAAATAACATTTTAGTAGACTTAAATCAGGGTTAAACAAATCCCACAAGCACTCTATTCATGGTCAGTTCTTCTGGTGTCTTCTGAGCAGCTGGCTGATATTTTTTCACCATTTGAGCAACTTCTTCCAAACACTGATCATTTTTTCAACATGTTCACTGCTGGACTGCTGTTACATTTTGCACTATATGAAGAGAAACAAATCATATTTCACAAGTTAAAAGAAAAAAGAAACAAAAACGTTATCCTCAACAGACTCTGATAGTGTGATAACATATGTAACAGCCTTCATGATGCAAGGAATTCCATACAAATCCTGTTTCCTTCTAAATATTCATTTTGACATACTCTGTAACATCTCTTCATGTTTATCCCCTTTGGGAGTTTTGAGTGAGTTTCTGTTTCATTTCCTCATCCAGCTAAATTTTTGTTACTATTGCGAGACCATTTTGTTGGGATGAGTATGATAATTCACAGGGGATGAAAAACAGCATCCTAATCAGTTTGGACCTGTATCAAAAAATGTTTCCTCCAGCTTGTTGACTTTGAAGATGATGAAAATTGTACAGGGCACATTGCAGCAGATCAAAGAACTTTTTCTTTGCAATGGCAGCAATGTTTTATATTTATCACAACTTTCTTGGAAACTGTGTATAAATATACCTTCTTTCTGGTAAAAGAACTGACCTCCCTTTGTTTCAGCTTTTTACATTCTTGAACCAATGGCAGGAGAGCTACCTGATTCAAAGGAATAGGGTTGCAGGGTGGGACAGGGTCAAAGAAGGCAGCAGGTTCACATGCTCCCTTTTACTTGCACTCTATACAACTGTATTCAATTTTAATCATGATGAATGATCACATAGACTGGTACATGAATTTTCACACCAGGAAAATAATTCTGTATTCCATGTTGCTTATTATGAGCAAATTTACTTCTATGTATAATTTATTAAAATTCTAGAGGGAGCACACCTGAACCCAAGCCCACCCTTGCCATTAGGCTCCAATGCCAATCACTTTGGAGAAAACCTCTAAGGACAACAACTTGAGTACATAGTGATATACTGGGTTTCTGGACTTTATCCATCGTCCTGGTTTTTTAAGATAACAAATAAAAACATGACGTTTCGGAAACTGGATCTGTTTCCGTCCTCAGGTGAAGGAAAAGGGAAACACCTATTCTGTTGGGTCCNATCCAGTTTCCGAAACGTCATGTTTTTATTTGTTATCTTAAAAAACCAAGACGATGGATAAAGTCCAGAAACCCAATATATCAGTGTGTTATACACCATCGTCAGAATCCTATAATAACTACTTGAGTACATAGGTTCAAACCCTCTGGTTCTTGCTCAAGAAGGCATCAGTAAGATGGACACGATGTTGTATTTTAGCGTTCTGTTGCACTGATTTTCATCCATTATACAGAGTGATTCAGAAAGATGGACACAATTTCAATTGACTATATTTCCTGAACTGTAGTTGCATTTGAATTCTGTAAAGTACATTTGAAAGAGGATGTTACAAAGTTTCTGGTACTACCGCTAGTGCCCTCCATCACTGCGTCTCGGGCCGATCACGTGTATCGGAGGAGAACGTGGAGTGCATTCGAGTGAACTTTGAGCGCAGCCCAATGAAGTCAACCCGTAGTGCTAGTAGAGAACTTGGACTATCGCAAACAACTGTGTGGCGTGTACCACCTCTTCCCACAAATTTGAATGACCTAAGAAACTGTATCACAGCTGCGGTGAACTCAGTGACGCAAGATATTTGTCATCGAGTGTAGGATGAATTCAGCTACCGTCTAGATGTTATCCGTGCAGCCGGAGGAGGGGGGGGCACATTGAACATCTATAAACTTCCATGTATGTATAATCAAGTGTAATTTACAGAATTCAAATGCAACATATAATTCAGGAAATATAGCCAATTGAAATTGTGTCCATCTTTCTGAATCACCCTGTATGTATACAGTTGCCATCTTGTAGTGCACTAAATTTCACCTGTTACTTCACGACATGTTTCGGCAACATAGTGCCATCATCAGGTGCCCTAATTACGCTAATCTATTTCATTGCTTGCCTTTATAAAATTATTTAAAAAGTATTTAAAAAGTACGTATTTGTCAACTATAATGAATTTACACACACTAAAACTTGTTAAGATTATTCATCTTATGTGTTATAATTAAAACTTGTGTGTGGTTCTTCCACTGTGGGGGTCGTTTTTCTTATACTGTGTAAACCGTGTCTTGTGATGTGTGTTCCCTTCTTAGCTGACAACACTCACAGCTGCAAGGTCAAGGACAACCCCGAAACGTCATGGAGTACACTGTAGAACAGCGAGTGTTTTTCGTGCACAAGTACTGGGTGACAGGCTTGATTGCAAACACCCAATTGGAATTCAGGAGGAAGTTTGGAGTTTGCAAGAAGCCAGCAAAATTGACTATACAGTCCTTGGCTCAGAAATTGGAAAGGACAGGGACACTTTTAAGTGAACGTGGTTAAAACCGCCAAGAAATGCCAGAAGAAACGATTGCAACTGTGCGGGACAGGTTACTGCAGTCTCCCAAAAAATCATTACGTCTAAGCCAGGAAACCAGGTATTCTTATTCAACGTGTCAACAGGCTGCAAAGAAAGCGAATCTTCGTCCCTACAAGATCACCAGTGTTCAGGAATTGGGTGATGTTGATAAAGATAAACGGGTACGGTACTGTTTATGGTTTCGGGAATTCATGCACAATAACCCAAGAATTTTGGATATCACTTGGTTTAGTGTTGAAGCATGGTCCCACCCATCAGAATATGTAAATGCACAAAATTCCAGGATCTGGGTGTCTGAAAACCCACATGAGATTGCTGAATCACCACTACACCCACAAAAAGTGGGTGTGTGGTGCGCCACTTCTGGTTTACGAATCATTGGACCGATCTTCTTCGACACGATCATGGACAGCACCTTATACTGCCATATCTTTTACGATTTTGTGCAGCAGCTGGATGATGTGGAACTTACACAGGGTTATTTTCAGCAGGATTCAGTGACCACACGTCCAACATGTCCACGGAACTGATTGAGAGCTTCTTCCCTGATCGCGTCATCTCTAAAAAGATGTGGCC